ATTTTTCACTGCATCATGTAAGAATGAGAACATCCATTGAAAACTCAAAACACTCAAGCCGTCAGTCTAGAAGAACTCTGTAAACAAATCAGATGGTCAACCTTTACGTTTCTGGTTATCAGTGGAAAGGAAGAAATTTGAAAACGGTTTATTGACATCAAAGAATACACGAAAGTGTTCCAGAGTGGGGGTCTAAATTAGACGTGTATCACAAAACAAAAATAATCACTAGCTGCTATACGGTCATAATGGGTAAGTGTCGTTGTTTGCCGTACAAGGAGTACAGAAGAGATGAATAAGTTGAAAACTACCGGAGGAAAACAATATGATGGACAGGGTAACGAATAGAAGGCTTTGAGTAATAACATTAAGAAGCATGTGAAAAATACAAAAGGAGAGCTATCTTCAGTAGGAACTGAATAAGTCAAAAACTATAAGTCATGGAAACTAAAACCCAAACCTTATCTGACCGATGGATCTCATCCATTGTAATGTAAACTAAAGCATCATTACCAGCCCATTGAACATCTGATGTTGCCCCTACGAAAAAAGAGCGAAGGATAACACGGTTAGTTTTTATTTCTGCGAGAGGAGGAGAGGAAGAAGAAGAAGATGGGGATTAACGGGAGTTAAGTATCACGTCAACAAAAACACATGAGGTAATGGCAGGACCTTATTGAAAAACGAACTAAAAGTTCGTTACTATATTACAAGTTTCAAAAGTTGGATGACCAAAATGCAAGCACCCTAAAAGCTGAGAGCTATTTATATACTTTGCCTGAAAATTAATATTTGTTTGCCCTAACGGAGTAGTAATTGATAATGACAAGTATATTTTATATTAGTTAAATATATATATTTAAAATGTTTAAATAGGAAATGTTTAAGTTTATTCTTATTAAGCTGTTAAATACAGTTTATACGTGTGTTATCAATATTTGATTTGATTTATATTCACACATACATTTGATAAGTATCATGTTTCTTTGTGGGTATTCCGTCATTTGCATCAGATATTTTTCAGACCAATTCAAAATTTTCAAATAACAAAATTAGTTTTTAAATGATTTGTTCGAAATTTTATGAAGTGATATTATTTCTTTTATGGTTATGTCCCAACGTTACTCCTGTAAAAGACAACCCTATCTTTACACACTGCATCTTCCTCTATTTCTATTTTTTTCTTTGTTCTTTCGGTTATTTTGACTTTTCAAAAATTTATTTTTTTAAAAAAGTAATTCATATTTTTTTTTGGTATAACAGTCTATATCTGAATTATTAATCGACCAATTGAGATCGACTACGGCAAAGGTGGGTGTATCCTTCCAACCCAATTTATTTTATTCGCACCCGTCAGGATTTAAATCTCTAACCGATATTGTTATCTTCCCACTATACCATAATTCTTATTTTTTATATTGATGTATAAATTTAATTTGTCTTTTAATTTATTTATCTATTATCTAATCGATGCAAGAATGTTCATTTTACAATAGTATATTTACCAACACTGCATACTTTACATTTTGTTCAAATTCAAACTAATACAAACGGTCAGATTCAAAATAATACAAACAGTTACTAGTATTTGTATTACTTCTTGATCACGCCTTCTTGCCTTAATTGTAAATGAAACAAACCCATTTCCCAAAATTTTATACCGTCATGCCAAAAGAATATAGGGTCCTCTAATAGATGCGAGAAAAGGGCCCCATCAAAGTTAACGTCAAGCTCTGGAGTTATTATCCCAAAAGGCCCAATCCTAATATTGGAAGTGCAATCGGGGACTAAATATTTGCAAAGCAAGGTCAAACCAACTGCCATAAACTATGAATGGGAAATGCAAATGATTAACAGAGTTTCTTTAAAGTAGAGCATTCAAACATAAAAGATGACAGGCAGAGCGGAATTATCAAGAAGGAAGAGAATCTGTAACAGCATGCTGAGATATCACGAAGCTACAGTGCAGTATCGAATCATACATCAGCATTATCCAACAAGAAGTCGAAATTAAAAAGTGAAATGAGTGCGCCAATTGCTAGAAATTGTATATTATTTATCGAGCCATATATCTCCACAATGTTCAACAAAATACAAATACCAAGAGTTTTCAAGCAACAACTGCCTATTCACTAACTTCTTTCAGATCACAAAACCCAATACATTGCGGGGAGGCAAATGTTGTTGGCTTCATCCTATTCCACAACCACAAGCTTATGCATCAGCAAATCTGCAAAATGAAAATGAAACCATCAGTAAAGAGAGGGAGAAAAAAAAGGCGTGTGAAACCATGCATAAAATCATTCAAATAACAAGAAATTAAAGCGAAGGTTACCCTAGCTCAGAGAGCTTCAAGTGAGCTTCAGCATAGTCAGTAAAGAAGGCATCCTCATCCTGCAAATAGGGAAAATCCATCAAAATAAATAAACAAAATTGAGCTTCTCAACGACAGATTGTATGAAACTATTGAGCCATTGATAATGAAGGGAAGTGTTGGCATACGGCGGCATATTTATCAACCAATGGACGGAAAACTGGGTCAGACAAGAGAACTTTGTCAGTTGGCAACTGCAGAAGGCCTTCCTTCTCTCCTGACAAGAGCTCCCTGAAAAATATAACCAGATTAGCATCAACTCAACATATTATTATTAGCATCGATAAAGGGAAAATGAATTACTCAAAAGAAAGAAAGAAAAAAAAGAATCTCACTTGAAGTAAGAGTTGTCAAAGATGAGAGGGTTAGCAGTCCATGGTCCCTCAAATCCAGACCTCTCCTTGTGGCACCGTCCCTATATCAAAAACAAAGAAGCGTATACATCATTAAAAGGATGCACACGAATAACATTTCAAACTAAAAGGAAACATGGGAATTTGAAGTTTTTTTAACAGACCAGGGTGTGACCACCAGAAAGTGCAACAATATCCTGGTCGCTGAGACCCATTTGAGCACCAAAGACCTGCCTCAAGTGATCAGCTCCTGCAAGATATTAGCCACAAGATTAAATCAAGATAATCGTCAAAATCAAAGACGTCAAACAAAGAAATTCCAGAATAAACTGTACACACTAACCCTTGGTAGCATCAGGAAGACGGCCCTCAGGTGGTGGGTGAGGCTTGTCCTGGAATTTGGTCGTAAAAAACTTATAAGTAAATTGAGTAATAGTATTGATTGCTTCAAGAAATAAAATTTGCTACATTTGCTAAAAACATCACAAACAAACTATTGTTTTTATACATCTAATCGTTATAAAAAGTTAAAAGCGATCTAGTAGTACACCATATATAGAGGCAAAATAGACATTACTCTGTTGAATAATATTTCCTTGAATTTACATTCAAGAATCAAGTCAGAAACCATGATCCAAACCGATAACATCCAAAATTGAATTAACATTTCAAAAAAAAAACTGTTGCAGAAATGAGGGCATAGTTTAAGTTGGCTAACCTCTCTTCCAGGATGGAAGGGAATTTCAGGCCCACCGGTAATCTCAACGGCGACAACACCAGCAAGCTGCAAGTTATCCAAACAAGCAACGAAAAAAACAGTCAATATCAGTTAAATAAAAAATAAAACAAAAAATCAGAAAGAAAAGACAGATCAATTCAAACTAAAACCTGATAGAAGTCAGCGTAGGAAAGGATGGGGAACTGCTCTTTGATCGGCTCGAGAAGTCTGACGGCGATATCAAGGCCGTTGTTAGCACCGTGTGCAAGCTCAGCAGGCTGCTTCATGGTTCCGAATGGACCTCCGGTCTTGGTCTTAACATCGAAAGTCCCAGCTGAGTGCCACCTGCAATCCACGATCACCGTCCGATCCATCAATATCATCATTCTCACGTCCAAAACTGTAGATCAGACGACCAAATAAAAAAGAGGAGAAGCTTACGCCAGACGGAGCATGAGCGGAGCACAGTTCTTCTCAGCGATTAGACCTCTGAGCTTCCTCTTAGCCTTTTCAACTGCCTTCTGGTATTCCTCGCTCACAGTTGGGTAACACTTCGTCATTTTCTGTTTTTTAACGAAAACAAAATCATATTAACAAAATAATAAAATTCAAATCAAACCAAAAAATCCCAAACTTCAGATCAGAACTCAAATCGGGAATAACCTTTTCGTGAAGTAACCGAGAGTGTAATGAATTGAATAAAAAAAACCCTAAAACAACGTAATGGACACGAGCTGAGCACAAGCACACTTACATGGGAGGGGGAAGATATAAAGGAGAGTGGAGAGGGGGAAGGTTCTAGTAGATTATTATCAGCCGTTTGATTGGGTTATGATCCTGTGGTTGGTGTTTGTTTTAGGAGTTGACGACTTTGATTATCTTTTAAAATTCACGATGTGCAGCTGTGCCTGTGCTTGTGAGATAGGTGGCTGATTAAAAGCAAATAATTTTGCTTGTTTATTCTTATTTTGGAGAAAATAAATAATAGTCAAAATATTTTCCGAACGCCGGGGTGAGAAAAATAACATGCGGTATTTTGAAATGACAGATGTGTCCCTATAATAATAATAATAAGATAGCATTTAATTTGCTGCGTTGGGAAACACATAAGCTCTCCTTAAATGAGTCATCGCCTTCGTATTTTTTCCACGGTATTTCGTTATTCCATTTCCAACATTAAAGTTTCATTTTATCAAAATCTGTGTTTTTTTATATAAATATTAGACACAATGAGAAAATATTAATGTATTTTTAAAAATTTATTTTTAAATTTATAAATATATTAGTAAAAATAATTGTAGAATTTTTTATTAATTATATAATAAATACGAAAATTGATTTATTTATTAAAAAACAATGGATATATTTACTACTGATAAATGATTTTTTTAGTAGACATAGTTTAATAGTGTCATTTAACACTTAACATCTATTGCGTGGACAATTATTACCAACAATTTATATTTAATTAGAATGAGAAAATTCAGTATTCTCCTAATAACTATTACTATTATTTACTAATATTATAACATTTTTATTTACGTTTTTACGAGAAATGATTTCAAGAAAGGGTGACACTATAGCGGCCGCATGGGATTGGAACGGCAAGCAGGGGTATTTTCGTTTTTTTCATTTATTATCGAGTAAATTTAGGGAAGTTCAAAAATTTTAATACCGTTGAAAATACTTGTAATACAGTGTGAACACGGCCGAGGGAGAGAAGATTCCATCGAAACAATGATAACAACACCGGGCGTTTCACAGAAGTATTGATCACCCGCCTATTTCCTATTGGTCAAACAGAAGTCACACTTTTTGTAGCGGACCAATAGCTGCAAAAATCCAATTAACTACGTAGGCTCGAGCACCAACAATCGGTATCCGCCACGTAGATTAATTAATTATTACCTCCTTTTTCTTTGAGGTGTCCTCAGACTCTCCACCCACGTTACACAAAAGCAATTGGCGCCCGTTTATTATCCCTTTCCACTCTAATATTTTTTTATAATTTAAAATGATTAAAGAATAGTATTTATTTATTAATTACATATGTGTTTTGATGTGTACTAAGTTGTTTAAGGGCGTCTAAGCATGTTCGTAGTCTCTAAGATCAATTGTATAATCAATTGGATGTATGTTCATGTACATTAGAATGCATTTTCTACCTTTTTCATAAAAATAATCGATCCCTTCATGCAACGGATAGATCTTCATGAAAAATAATCGATCACTTCGTTATTTGCTCGATACAAATAGGCAAAATTACATTCATTAAAGACCTAAAGTACTCTCTAATTCCTCAATTGGTCCTTAAACTTTAAAATATATTCAATTTGGTCCAAAAACATGATTTTGCAATTAAAGTTTGGTTTCAACTCGGATTTCATTGAAATTTGTTCTATGACTCTTTAATGATAATAATTTCATATTGTAACCTTCAATTTCATATTTTTGGTTTATTTTCATATTTTGAAAAGTTTACGTTTTTGTCCCTAAATTGAGCACATTCAATTGGGTCCCTGTTTGACATTAGATTAATCTAAAAATTTGCATGCCATTAATTAATGAGTAATAATGAATATTGGTAACTTTAAAATGAGAATTTTACTTAACAAGCATGTGTTGTGAAATGTCCAAATTATCCATGCATTGTGAATACGTTTATATTGCGATATTCTATCGTGTAAATATTGTGATTGATATTCTTGTTGGTTACTGCAGCGTGTTGAGTGATGTATGTTTTAAATTTAAATTGTTTCGGCTTATCACACATGTTTAAGTTTTTTGTTCTGTCCAACATGATTGAAATCTAATGTACGCTCAGTTATTCGGGTTAATCTTAGTAACCGGGTAGGGGTGTTACACTCATTTTTAGCCTCGAGTTGATTAGGAACAAACTGATTGACTTTATAATTGGCTCGTATAATACGATCCCACATCGATTTCGACCTCATCAAAAGATCGTACCCCAACTTCATCAGAAAAGATTCATTTTGTGCATGGAGTGGACAGATTGCAATACCTCATGCTCGTAAGACTGACAACAAGTTTCCTATTTTACATGGTCTACTCTCGAGGACTTCTACGATATGCCATAGATAAACCGACATACAATTTGTTCAATCTAATCAAAGATCCCATTAGGAATGGGCACCGTTTGTATAAAGTAATTGGATATGGCTAGGAGAGTAGATCTGGTAAGTGCGACATGTCCTGCCATGGAGAGTTTATTCACTAAAAAATTACTCGGCTTCTTATGGACATTATCAATAACAAACTGAAAAGTACTTTTGGTTACTCTGATTTGAAAAAGAGACATGCTTAAGTACTTGCATAAGTCCTTAGACAACTGAAAACCTAAGGTGCTGCAAAAACGTAGGATATCCTCATCCATTGTATTCACCGAGAACACCCTAGTTTATTTAAAATTTACTTGATGTCTTGAAAACCTTCTGACCTAGCCCAAAATTACCCCAAGAATATTAGTTTGCTTTGAATCCATTTTGCAAAATAAGATTAAATCATCAGCGAAAAACATATGATACAAATTGGGCCTCGCGAGAGAGACATTGGTTCCCACAGACCGACATCCATAGCGTACTGCACATTGTAACCAAGTCTCTCCATACGGAGGACGAAAAGATAAGGGGAGAGCAGACATCCTTGTCGAATTCCTCTCGTTGGTTTGAATATTTCAATAAGAGACTCATTCCAAAGAATATGCATGGAAGATGAAGAGATCGACTCCATGATGATACAACGAATGTTTTCTGGACAACCCATATCCATAAGAGAATCTGAAAGAAAGTCTCAACCGACCCAATCATAGGCCTTCTCTAAATCCACTTCCATGACCATCCATTGAGTCGTGCCTCTTTTCTGTTTCACTGAGTGGATCGCTTCTTAAGCCATGAGTATATTATTGGTGATTCTACGTCCTGCAATAAAACTTGATTGGTTCGAAGTAATAATTTTGAAATAATTACTTTGAAACTGTTGGAAATAATTTTCATAACAAGTTTATATAGTACGGAACTCAGGCTAATCAACCAAAAATCAATAAAAGTAAAAAGATTGTCAAACTTTAGGAATAATAACAAGTAATTTTTATTAAGATTAGGTTTGATACAGTTATCATTGAAGATACCTTTGATCCAAGTACAAATCGAGCTTTCCATTGTCTCCCATTGACTTTGGAGTAAGGGCATAGAGACCATCTTTACCTGGTGCTTTGAGTGGGTTCGTATTAAAAAGAACACGCTTAATCCATCATCTATAACCGTGTCTTGAGACTTCACATCACCAATTTCGAGCTTAGGAAACATGCCTATGACGAGAAATCTACATTTCTCTCATATTCTCTCATCTCAAGACTTTGAACTCCACAACATAACATTTATGTCTTGATACTATGACGATGCCAATATTATTTAAGGTAAACTATATAGGTGATTTGTTTTATTTTTGATTTATCTTAATTTTGTTATTGGTTTTAAAAAAATAATAATTTAATTATTTGCATTGTCGATTTATCTTATTTTGATCACCGAATCTCTAAATCTCATAATTTTAATGAGACATGTTAGTAAAAAAATATTTTTTAATTTAATCCTTAAATTAATAAAAACTTTATTTAAACAAAAAATCTTTAAAAAAACCCTTTCTCTCTCAAAATCTCTCTCTTTAATCCTAACCCTAACTAACTATCGTCCTTGATATCGCAGTTATCGTCACTGTTGTCAATCATCACACGCTCTTTGTCAAAATACCAATACTCTCATTACTGTCGTTGTGCATTGTGTTAGTAATCACACCTTTATACTAAACTCCTCACCTCTTATCTTAATCGTTAGTCTAAATCCCAATAGTCCGAAACCCCTCGACCCCCTCTAGTGGTTAGATTTATTGTCATGTAACATAGTTTTTGTTGTGGCATAGGAGGTTGGAGCACGTATTTTCTGCTAAAATGAGTACGATTTTGAATAAAAATATAGTTGTACTTGCAGTTTGTTGGATTGACCAGATAGACAAAAACCACTTGTTACTTACAATAACTTATAGCAAGCCTTTCGAATTAGTCATAGTTGGTGTAAGAGATCTTAAACTCATTTTGTCTAATGAATATTGCTATTACATTTCTTTTGTTGATTTGTATAGGATGAATTGTTGGTTATACCTACTTAAAAATAAATCAGAAGCCTCTGTTGCATTTTAATTGTTTTCTGCATCTGTTCAAATTCAGTTTTATTCATTATTTTAGTTGTTCGGTACTGTGATAGTGTATGGATGCTATATAGTGATCGATTTTATGTATATCAGAATATGGTGTCGAATGAGCATATTTTTTCATATGCTAATAAATTATTGGTATCTACATCTGCATCTAATGATCACCAGTTTACATTGTTACCTGTATGTTCAATATGTTCACCATCGTTCATGGTTGAACGTTTACCTTGCGTGTCTGATGAAAATGAGTAACAAGTTATCTTCTAATGCTCATTAATTATCTTTTGGTGCTTCTATTTTTTTATGGTTATGCTAATGCTGAATCTTTAAGATATTTAACAACAGTTTCTAATACTGCTTTATCCTCTTGTGATGCTCATATAAAACTTGTGCCATCATCCTTGAAATTCTGAAGTTGTTATCTCAAGAAATCATCATTCAATTGTCACTATAAGCAAGACTGGCATCTTCAAGCCTAAGGTATATTAGGTGCAATATAATGTTTTCCCTCTATCATTCACAAAACACTTATTCATATCGAGTGAAAGACAGTCGTCTTTCCAACAGGTCGAAAGGGTATTTAGTTTATTCTTTTTTATCTTACATTTGTTTACCCTGTTGGCAGATGTATTACTTACCCAAAAGAAGAAGCAATTCGTTGTATCCAGTCTATACATGGATTTGTCTTGGAGGATAGACCATTAAAATATGACTGTATGACACTGCTATGGAATGTTTTCTTTTGTTAAATGTTGGTGCATACTTGGTCCAGTTTTACTGTCTCTAATGCTTGAAAATTGAAATATTAATTTCAGGGCACGTTTTGGTACAACAAAATATTGTCATGCATGGCTGAGAAATTTAGTATGTGAAGAGATTTTTGTTTGATTTGCCTTTTAAGTTGAAGAAATTTATTTATTTAATGCTGATAGGTTTAGAAAATAGTACATAAAATGTAATTTGAAGTTTTTTGGGGGGAGTTTCAGCCTTGCAGTAATCCTGATTGTCTATATTTGCATGAGATTGGCTCTCAAGAGGATAGTTTCACAAAAGATGAGATTATATCAACACATACAAGGTATATTCATTTTGATTTTGCCACTCTAATTATAGTTGTCTTTCTCATTTCTTTTTTTGTCTTCTTATCTTTTCTTTTGTCAAGTTCAACTTTTTTTCCTTAGACAAAGTTAGCCACTTTTGGTTGCTTTCTGGTTCAAATGAAGCATGTATTCACATCGTACAATGTATCGATGTTGCTGTTACAGTAGCCTGTGACGAAGAGCTACATTATTTGTTCACAGAGCACTTTTGCTGAACTTTACTTGGACAGAAAGATGATAGAATTGGAAAGCTAATTTTAAAAACAAGTTATAAATCAAATACAATGTAACCCAAGTTTTTGAATTTTGAGTAATGCCTTCTCTTAATTAGTAGCCTGACTTGGTTATTTAAAGGAGTAGGGTTCAACAAATAACTAGTGCAATAAACAACATGCAATTACGTGCTGGGAATATTTTACCTCCTCATCTGGATGATTATTGCCCCACCGCCACCAGTTCTGCTTCTGCAGTGAAATCCATTGCTAAAAATGCTCCAAATGTAAGTTCATTTATTTTCATCTTCCAAAGAAAAACATAAAAAGTTGGGAAATGATAAAGTTCTTTACCTGCAAGAGAGCTCCATGCTTCTTAATAGGTTGTTTTTATATTTTTGGTCATTAAAGAGTTCTTTTTAACCTGGCTCTGTTTTGATTTTGTTGTTGAACAGAATAAGACTGTGCATGCCTAAAAGCTCTCCCCCAAATGGAAGCACTGGAAAAAATGTTGCTCTTCCTGCTGAAGCATCATGGTATACCATTTAATTTTCTTTTCTTTTGTTATGTTTATTTCTGTTGCTCAGATTCTGAATGTTCTGCCAGGGGAATTCGTGCTTTAAACCAGCCACAATCCATTGGTTTAGCATGTTCAAATGGATATTCTAAGCAGAAATCCGATATGCTTAGTAGGACATTACCATTTTCTTCTGCATAAACAATCACAAATCAGGATTACATGATACATGGCCATGTTATAATTAGGTCGTATGATGAGATTCACGATATGCAAATGAAGGATAAATCTAATTTGTTAAAGCCTTCAAAACGAAATGCTGGCTTAGATAGTCAAACTACACTAGATAAAACTACTACACCTGGCGAAGTTTCTGCTTCTAAATCATTGAGCAGCATATTCTCTTCACCACCGGTATCCTACTATAATGAACAGAACTCTAATATGCCATCAACTTTTACAAGCTCCATCTTTGACCATGCTGAGCAGTCACTTATTGCCAGTAGTCAAACACCAGGGAATACGTTATCTACTGATGGGAAGGTACAGAGCTTGTGCTATGATATGTCAATGTTGACAGCAGATAAAAAGGTCTTAAGTGTACAATCCGAAGTACTTGGACCAAGCAATTCAGCTTCTGATCATGGATTGAGCAGCTCTCCTCGTAGTAGAGGCTTACAAGAATTCTATGTCGAGGATTGTCCTTTAAGCTCACCAGCCACTGGGAGAACTGTGATGTCTCACAATGGATCGCGTATTTCTAAAGAATAGTCTGATTGGAGAACTGAGAGACAAACTCCAGCGGTAACAAATACGAGTTCTGAAGTAGATCCAGAAGTCTTTTGCCATCGAAGTTATGTTCCAAATTCAACTATTTCACTCCATTTATCAAATCAATCTAGGTTCCGTTTGTTTCCACAAGGTGCAGTTAATTTGAATTCAGATTCATTATTTGTAGACAATAAAGTTGATGACAGTTTACGCCTTCATGGATCTAGTGTTTCTTCTTTATCAAATGGATCACTGATATGTACATAAGCAGTAGTAGTGGTTCTGATAGTAACACAGAAGCTTCATTTATGCTTCCGAATGAAGGGATGGGGAAACAGATTGGAAGATTCCTTGGTAATGTTGAGAGCAATGATGTTATACAAACAGGGGAAAGCAGCATAATTTCAAAAATATTCTCTATGGATTTCGGTACTTGGGATCAGTCCCTAGCTTCACCTCATAACTTGGCTAAATTGTTGGGTGACACTGACAGGCAGCCCAACAATCTCAAATTATCTACTTCCTGGAAAGCACAAATAATGGTCAGTCTTGATTTTCATTTGCAAGGTAGGAGGATTCCAGGTATCATCCATTTGATATTGAGTCCTCGTTTAGTCTTTTCAGGCAAATGTCACATAATCTCCCGTCTAGCCAGAATTTTGCAGAAGATAGGGATCTCTCTCTTAGTAAGTTTGGCATTTCTAATGGTTTTTCTTCTTATCACTTGAATCAGACAATTATACCAGCGGTCATTCAGTTTTCTCTTCTTTCAAGTCTCCTGGTGAGGATTTGAATTTACTCTGCGCCTGCTGATTATATCCATGATTAATAATAAAATGGGGATTCTGATAATGTCATTTTTAACACCATTATTGATGTGTTTCTCGTAAATATTTTACTTATGTGCACTGTTCCATCTATGCCTGAAATTTCTTCTAATTTGGATTCTGTGTAACACTAGGTGACCACCAAACATTCTTGCCTATTTGTTGTCTTGTTTTATAAGATTTTTGGCAAAGCTTTATTTTGATTTAGTTCATACTGATAGTTTGTTCAATGTTGTTGAGCAGTATCAAGATCTCAAATTTCAGCCCCTCCTGGTTTCTCTGTTCCTAGCAGCAGAGCAACACCTCCAGGCTTTTCTTCTCATGGGAGAATTGACCATGCCTTTGACACCACATCTGGTAAGTGTTTTCTTTTTTATCTTTTGACCCATTATCTTTGGTGTTTTTTTTTTTTGTTGTTGCAAATTATTGTTTTTATGTTCGGGAAATCGTTTATGGACACTTCTTCCCCTGATAAGAAATTCTTATCAGGCTCCAGCAAGTGGAGGTATGGGTGGCTGAGGATATAGAATTTATGGATCCAACTATCTTGGCTGTAGGAATGGGTAAACATCAGGGAGGGCTTAACAATTCAGGGTTAGACATGAGATTAAATTTTCTACCACAGTTAGATCCCTATGAGAATGAGGCCAGATTTCAACTATTAATGCAAAGATCTCTCTCCAAATCAAACAGTCGGATATGATGTCTTTGCTTGTCATGATGGAATTACTTGTAGGCGATTGGATCAATCACAGTTGTCTCTCCAACAGTCAAGAAATATGCATTTCCAATGGTGTCATTGGGATGGATGGATATAATAAGGTCCAAGGTGGAAACAGTCTTGGTGTTGCAGAGCTCCTCTGAAATGAGAGTTTGGGACTAAACGAGTATTCCAGCTATGAAGATTCAAAGTACATGTTGCTGCCCCCTCCGGTACTTGAACATTTTGGATGTGATCATCGCTGAGCATTGGAACGAAGTTGTTGGCATTTCTTTGCTAATGAGTAACAAAATTCTATGCATGCATGCTGGGTCTTCTTGGGCAACCTCATGAAGGATCAAGCCACCGGTAACTCGGTCAGGACAACCAATAACTATTGTCTTAAACTTGCAGGTATTGATGAAATGTTCCAAGCTAATTATTATTGAAATGCTCTTTCGTCGTGCCTGCAAGTGAATCTATGAGGGTCTAGATCTGATTTGGAGTTTTTCTTGACTATTACCAGGTGAAGCGAGCTTCTGCTATAAATATAATCTAGTAATATATATGTATAATTTGATTGTACCGCGGAAGTGATATATATAAAAGAGATGTGAAATCAATTGGGAGGCTGGTTGATCCTCTCCTGATGTTTTGCTATTACCTCCTCGACATCCTCATATGTTAGTGATGCAATTATTCAATTAATAGGGAGTTTTCCGAATGAATTAGCAAAAACATGTGGGTGCCCGAAAGCCCAACTCTCTCTACTTTATCCATTTCTTTTATAAAATAATCCACCCTTCTTATTTTTAATGTCTACCAAGTCGGTATGTAGGTCTTATTCGATATTCAAAATAAAATATCTGATCTAATCCGTCCAATCTCACCCTTCTACAGCCTACATAATAAACAAACACTGCTACTACCACAAGTAATGTCTTCTTTTGTATATTATTGTGGTATAAATCAAAAAAAATTGGGTTGGTATCAAAATGATCACCATTTTTAAATTTGTATCAATATGACCACTAAACTATTTAAGTGGTATCACTTAAGTCACATGTCGTTAAAATCTAACGAGGAGTAACATGGCAGTTAACAAAAATTTGTATAATTACACATTTGATCTTCAAAACATGTATATTATATTAATTTATTTCTAATTTAAATTTAATTTTATAAATTAACCTTTTAATCAGGAGATGACATGTGTTAATACATGATCATGATAAATGTCATTAATTCATGAGTCATCACCTAATTGGAGAGTTTTTTTTTATTTTTAATTTATTTAATTAAATTTATTTTCTATCCAATCATAGAGCGACATAACCTTTGATTGGAAAGGAAATAAATATATGATATTTGCATTTAGGGGATTGAACTTGGGTTCTAGAAATAAGATGCCCCATTAAGCCAATTATTCCATTTGATTTGGATATTACACCGACATTTATTTATCTCATAATATTATTAGTGATATAAAAATAAAGAAAAAAATATTCAAATGATATTTAATTTTCAAAAAAAATTATTTTTTAAAACAAATCAAAATAAGTTTACTATTTTATTTTTAAAACCAAATTCAATATTTTATGTTTTTAAACAAAATTTATGGAATAAATCATGTAATATAAAAATAAAAATTTTTTTATAAATTTAAGAAAAATAAATTTTATAATTCTAAGTAATTGAACTTAATGTAAAATTTAGAATTAAAAAGAAAATTAATTTCCTCTTTTTATTTTAAAAAAAATAAAAAATAATTTTAGACAAAATTTATGAAGAAGTCATGTAATATAATACTTTTTTATATTTTTATATTTAATACAAAATTTAAAATTAAACATTAATTTTACTTTTTAATTTTAAATCTTGCACTAAATTTAATTATTTAAAAATATAAAAATATAAAATTTATTTTTTAATTTAAAAAAATATTTTTATTTTTATATTACACGACTTCTTCCATATATTTTAATTAAAAATATAAAAAAAATTGAATTTAGTTTTTAAATAAAATATTAAATTTATTTTAATTCGTTTTAATAAATAAATGTAACGTAATTATCCCGTGTTCATCTTATGGAACCCAAGTTCAAATCCTCCCAAATGCAAGTTATCATCTATTTGTTTTATTTTCAATCAAATGTGACATGTGTCGATGTATGATTGGATAGAAAATAAATTTAATTAAATAAATTAAAATTAATAAAAAAATCCTCCAATTAGGTAATGACACACGACACTAATAACATGTGCCAAGACCATGTATTAACACACGTCACCTCCTGATTGAAGTGTTAGTTTATAAAATTAAATTTAAATTATGACTAAATTAATAAAATACACAAGTATATGAGGATCAGATGAGTAATTATACAAATTTTTATTAACTACCACATCATCCCTTCATTAGATTTTAATGATAGATGGCTTAAATGATACCACTTGAATAATAGTGACGTAAATTTGAAAATGATGGTTATTTTGATACCAACCTCATAGTTAGTTGATCATTCAAGTAGTTTACCCAAAAAATTGTTGAAGAAAAGGTGATTGTTTCCTTTTCTATATTAAAAACGCTTCCATCTCTTCACTATTACTAGTCATCAAATTATTATTACTTTTATTTTGGTCACTTTTACATAAAGATGATTATTATTATGTATTTTTATTTTGGTCACTTTTTTATAAAATTATTAGTGGTATTATCTATTTTTATTTTAACCACCAACTGTTTAAAGATTAACATGATATTTTTCTCCTCATCAGCAGTTTACATTTTATTGTTTTAATAAAATGAGAGAAAACGGGGTAGCTGTGATTTGAATCAAGGACTCTTTGGTGTTTGAACTGTCCAAT